AGACATATGAATTTATTCGGCCGATCTTATGGTGATTGGTGCATACATAATCCAAACCAGTGCAGTGATTGCTCTGGAATACTTACGCATGATCTGGTCATTCACTACAATATTGACTAAGGTACTGTACCTGCCATTCTTGATCACAAATTCTCTACTCACATTTTTAAGTGAACTTCTTTAGGAAAGCTTAGTATCCTTAACGCCAACAAGACTTAATGAAATAATGATGTATCTCTGGACGCTCGCACAAACATAACACGACAATATTAATTTAACATATTTATGATTTAACATAAATACTAAAACTTAAAATAAAGTCCATTAATCCAGACATAGGGTGTACGTAATAATTTAAGTGCTTAGAAGAAGATTAAAAAATCGTAGTATAGATGGACGTCACTCTGAGTTTTTATAGTAATTTTGATTAAAATTACTTCCCGTTTAGTTTCTCTTTTTTTAATCTGTGAGTAAAGTTAATTATTTTATTAAATAATATTGATGTTATATACAATATAAAAATATATAAATTACACTTAACGACAAGAAATTTTTACAAAATTTAACACAACATTGATATACATACATGACCTTGAAAAAAATTACTTTTCTAAAGTGAACATCTGGACATTTATTTGTGAAACTCTGGGACTTCAATAACGGATTAATATAGCTAGACTTAAAACTTATAAAGATTCAATTAAATACACAATGTATTTTATAAGTAAAATTATTTTGAAAAAACAACTGCTTATTTAGAAATCTAATTAAATTTCCAAATGGTTAACATAGACTTTTGATCTATGAAGTAATTGCGATATAAAAATTATGGTGAAGCTATTTCAGCCAGCACACTTGATTACTTTTACTCTTTCTTAACTCGAGGTATTTCCAAATCCCTTTTTACGCCTTGGCTGGATTATTGTTTATTACTTCATCAGACTAAGCAATAATTGACCTCAGATCTGCAGTGATATATCTTTTTAAGTAATATTTTCTATGGTAAGAGCCGGTAAGGTGTCGGGCCGCAGCTTCACGATATAAAAAAAAGCTGGTTTATCTTCGATTGAGAACCTATCATTTTTTTGAAAATTGAATGTATTTTGTAAATAGTCTGGCTCTTTATATGGAAAGACTATAGATTGATTTCCTTCCATGGTATAATAATATTTATGTACCAGTAGACTCACATGAAAACTATTCGATCAGTTTTGACTTAATTTTTATGAAATATTATCAGACCAAAAGGGAAAATTATGTGTTCCATATATATATAGTTCATCCAAATTATCATGAATGTTTAATTTAAAATAATTTTTTACAAAATTCTCTATTTAAGGCCCAGTGCATACCTGCGGCAAAATGACGCACCTGCACTCAATATGCTCAGTATGATTAAATGCTTATTACAATCGCTTAGCGTGCACCCGCGATTGTTTTCTCAGCTAATTTTGTCGGGGATTTTGGAATGGAAAAGCAATCCCCTGTGAGCATTATTAGGGTTTCTTGGAGTGGCAGAATAAAAAAATTCAGAATGTCACTGTATTTTTTCAAAGACTACTCCTTATTTGTAAACCCAAAAATAATACTCCATATAATGACATATGACTTCACTTCAATGAAAAATGAATTACTGAAATTAAAACCTATTTTGTGGTCAAAAAAATGGGAGACATCGTTTTTGAATAAAGTTTAGTTTTAGCTAAAAGTTGTCGTTTTATTAGTCATACTTCGAACTTACTCAGTGATGTGGGAAGTTTTGTTAAAATTTTATAATCGATGTTAGAAATTTTACTATTCCAAGAAGTCTACTTCGATCACAGGGGAAGAAGCAAATTTTCGAAAAATACGAATATTATTGTACCCACACAGGCACAGACATAACACACGCTACTAATGTGGGGGGTCAAAAAATCATTTCAATCTTCAAGTAAAAAATTTCAATAACAAAAAAACTGTTGTTAAGGATGAACCAAGATGGATGTGATTAGAATTTCATGGATTAGAATTTCATGAATGCTATGAACAGAAAACGTTATTGTTTCTTTATTTTTGTTTGTGATAATTATGCTCTCATCTATTGTTCGCCGTTTAGAGAGAAGCTTTGCTGATAGGAAAGTGTGTGCGCCTTGATCTTGAAAGACCCTGGTTATCGAAGATTGTTTGGGTTTCGTCAATGCTTTGTTTTTGTTATTATGGCACGTTGTTTTATTTGGGTTTTTTAATGTTTTTTTTGCGATTTTGTCATAATTTAAATGATTTATTTTAAATGTTGTTGAAAAACAATATAAAGAAATTAGTTGAAAAAAGACATTAAAAATATATAAAATTTGTGAAAAAGACGCATTTCTAATATATATATTTATATATTTAGCTGTTATATATACATATACATATATGTATTTTTAAAAATTATGCACGCAAGTTAAAAAATTATTTTTCTAACAAACATTAAAGTAAAAGGAAGTGTGTTTTATAGAGATATCAAAAATCTTTATTCAGATAATCTAATATATTGTTTAAAACAGATTTATCTACTATGTATAATAAATTTCAATGACGGTTTTTTAATTAATTAAAGTAATATATTTGATAACATTTTTAATTTTAAGGCTCAAAGAAAGCCATTAAAAAATTTTAATTGCTTTCAACAATTTTTTTAATGAAAATGGCATATGTATAAAACATATGCACTCATATACATACTCAATAAATATTCTAATCGAAACTTATCTTTAAAGCTGTTGATAATTTAAAAATTCTGGTTTCTGAATTTTATAAATAAAACTGCAATTCGCCAGTAAAAACAGTTTTCACAAAACTTTTCTACGAGAAAGTAAGTTTAAATTTGCTGTGAAAGTGAAACCAAAAATATTGTTTAATAAATGTAAACAATTTTATAATAAAATCTGAAATTAACATAATTTTGGCACTGGAATTGAATTAATTGCTTATAAATTAGAATGTTCAGTGGATGCGCTGCGAATTAAAAAAGCATTAAAATGCCTTTGCATATTTCGGGATACATTTGAAAAGGACATTCGTATAGGACAATTTTAATTGTAAAAGTGCAAAAATTTTTAAATTAAAACATATTTTTAAATTGTCTTCCATAAAGAAACTCCTGATCAATATAGCTATCGCAGGAGTGTAAAAAAGTTAGCTAGTTGAAAATCACAACGTATACTCTACTCATTTTCAAACTCACGAACAGGAAAAGTTTTTTCCATTTATAACTTCTTTAAGCCATAAAATGAAAGTAGTGTAGTTACAGTAGTAATATTAATTAGTAGTATTATTAACTAGTACTACTACTATAACTAGTAATATTAATATTACTATTAATAAAAATAATAACCAGTAAAACTAGTTGATTTACTAATTGACCTTACTAATTAACTACCCGTTCAATAACAATAGTGATGGATGTTATGTAGTAGCATAAATAGTCATAATTATAATTATAATAACTATGTCAGTAATGTTATTAGAAAACTTATCCCGCAAACTCATAATTCACTAATGTAAAAATATTGGTAACACATGTTTGACTATAAATATAAGATTATTTGTCTAAAAAAATATAATTTCAGAATTATAAAACTATTTATATTTTTTCCCCTTAGTTATTTAAAAAAATAAATTCATATAATATTCGTTACTCACAAAACAAAAATAAAGTTTTAATAATATTCTTTCATTTCTTTTTCAACAATTTATTTATTATTTAACTTAAAGCATTAAACATGTAAGTGTTTCATTAACTTATACTATACTAATCGTTTTAATAGCAAAAAAATCTATACTCTATACGATATTTTTTAGAATATCTTGATTATTTACATTTATCTCTTGAATTTTTTGACTTGATTTTTTTTTTCTCTCTAAAATATGTATTTACATATGAAATTTTGTTGAAAAAATTATATACAATATTGTATCATGTTACGTATTCTTAGCATATCTTAGCATAACCAAGAGTTTGTATGAATAAAACAAATTACTTTGACTTTGAAAACTATATGAGCATTTAAATAAACATTAACTGTTTTAAACTATAAGCATATAGCCATTATGTAATGAAAAATGCTTTTACTTTTATTATTCTAAATCTTTTTTCAAATTCTGTAGATCTGACTAATTATAATTATGTTGTCTATTTTTTAAATTCCTTTCACTACTAATCAGAAATATCAAATTGTTAATTAAGTACATTAATGAAACTTTATACTGATTACATTATACAACGTAATTAACAACTAAATGAAACGCGTTATTTGCTTGGGTAGCTTATTAATATACGTAGACATATACATATTTAATACTATTAAATCTACATAAAAATATTTTTTTCAAATTCATAAAAAATATTTTATTTCCAATTTGAACTTCTTAATACCATTCAAATGGTCAAGTTCACACAATTTGCGATAAGAATATATAAATTAATTGGATTTCGTGTATATATATATATATATATATACGATATGTATGTAAGTGTATCAATATGAATTCAAATATTTGCAACGTTCTAATGTATGGAATATTAATTTATACGATTCCATTAAAGACCTGTATAAAACCCAAAGCGTATGTTTTGGAAATAAATGAAACATAATAGATTATGTGGTCTGATTCTAGAACTTTTAAAAATAGTTGAGAATTTGTTACAAACGCTTACTATCCATATCGGTATATATTTTATTTATTGTTTTCTTGTAGTGGAATTAATTCATTACATGATGAAAGTAAAACTTAAATAATTACTTAAACATTTTCGATTTTCTCTTCGCTATTATATATTTTTGTAAATTGATGTAAATTAAATTTTAGTTAAAAAATACAACTCTGTGATTATACGCAACATACCCAACAGCCGGTTGTCAATTGATCAAAATTTCAAGAGGGGGAAACAGAGAAAGGAATTTACATATGACAAACGTTGGCTGCACTGCTGAAAGCATACAATTTGCCACAATAACATAGCATGCAAATAGAATGAAGAGCAAACGAAAATAGAATAGAAAAACACCACCAGACAAGTTGGTGTATGAGCGAGTTATAAATTCTCAATGTGCTAAATGTGCTCGATTCTTTTTCCACAAAAACCTCGAAGAGTGAGGACACATTTTGGTTTGATCGCATTATCTGTCGCATTTAACAGTGTTCAAGCAAAAATAAAATAAATTTTTTTGAATAAAACAAAACATATTTAAATAAAATAGTTCAACTAAATATATATTTTAACAAAGGTGTGTGTTTGTGTGTAGGAGTTTTCGCAGCGAATTCACGCAGAATATAATTGTTATATAAATAAATAAGATATACAAAAGTCAATTAAAATTTCCTTAAAATTAATTTGAAAATATTAAAGAAAAGTGCATTTTGTGCTAACAATTCTCCAAAGCAGCATAAAAAATTGTTTTGGGGAAAAATCAATTCAAGGCATTTTAATTAAAAGAAATTTAATATTTTTATTAGTACTCTTTTGCCAAAACTACTACAACTTACAAACCAAATAAAAATGCCGCAAACTTCTACTTTGGCCAATGGACACTCGAATGGATGCAATGGCAAGACCACATCCTATGACATGGAAGACGGACAAATGTTCCTGTTTACTTCTGAGTCTGTGGGCGAAGGACACCCAGGTAAATGCAATAAAATTCATACTATAAATATATGCATATATAAACAATTTTTGGCTCACACTTTTAAAAATTTCTCATTCACTCATTTCAAATCTGTGAAGACTTCAATGGCAAACTAAAAATGTAGATATAGATATGTTAATTATAAAATTTTGAATTATTTAAGTTGCTAGTACATTTTTGACACAGCTACTACTAGTTCCTACTAGTACATCCGCTAGTAAAGCATCCCTCCGCTACGGACATTTTTACATTTTTAGAAAAATGGGAAAATGTGGTTTCAAATTCCAACTTTTAGTCAGTCACTCACGCCAATGTCGACGCCAAATTTATTGCATCACAACTACACGTTGTTTGGCTTTTCCTTTGTTCCTATTCAAATTTTTCACTCTTCGCACATAAGCGCAAAAAAAAACTTTTACGATAAAGCTGCGAAATTCATTAACAAGTGATTGTAAATAATATACGCAAATGTTTCAAACAAAACATTTTGATTGGGTTTTTTTTAATGCCGCAATCACACTTGTGCCAGGTTAAAGCACCATAGAAACATTACAACAAAATGGCGTCTATACCTGTATCACCTTAATAGACTGACGGCGCCGCTGCTTGCGTCCGGTTCAGGTGTCAAAATAAAAACTGATAAAGTATGAAATAACAACAAGAACAGTAAAAATTCTACAGACATACCCACCAGCGACAACAACAACAACAACAGGAAGAAGAAGAATAACACGACTGACAGTCTGCATAGCGACCGACCATATGATTTGGGTTTCTGCTGTTATGGTTTTCGGTTTTCCTGGCCTGTAATTACAATATTTTCAAGAATTTCATTCCTAAACTGCAAATTTCATAGAATGAAATATATTTTTGCACACATGCAATTAAGGTGACCAGTTGCAAATGATTTTGTTGCCGCTCTATTTTAGTTATTTTAGTTGCAAATAATATGCACGCATATCTGAATTAAATAAAAATATTTTTGTTTGTTTACTTACTCATATGTATATCGTTTCAACAAAATATTTTACATATTTTCGGTTTTTATAATTATTTTTTAATTCTTAGAATTTCGAATTAAATACCACCCCTAACTTGTATATACGGGTAGACAGTGCAAATAATTTTTATTATAAAACTATTAATACTATATTATAATTATAACGAAAAAGAAACTTTTTGAATATAACAAGAAACGGTGTAAATAGAGAGGTTTTTTAATAGTAGTGGATTATAATAAAATATTCGTTTACTTACGGTGTTATGGATTGGTAAATCTGGATTCAATATAGATTTAATCTCGATTAGTAAACTTTTGTTGCTCAATCAAACATTTTTAGAGTAATCTAACATTTTTGTAGTAGAGTTAATAGATATTTATATTTTTTATAAATATCAGCTTTTATCTAGAGTGTTGTAAATAAATCTCGAGTGTTTCGCTAGAGATTTACCAATTAAAAATGCATCTCGTAGGACCTCTCATCGAACTATACTTTCGAGTATACTTCGTTTCTGTTAAGAAAATTGTTTACTTTTTTATAATTGACTTTAAAATCAAATTTAAAATGATTTAAATAAGAAAATAATTTAAAATATGGGACTTCCAAATTGTACAATATTACAGAATAGTTTTTTATATCCATCAATGCCGTAGAGAGGTGTGCACCAAATTAATGAATGGTATTAAAAATTTCATTTACTTTGTTTTTGTTTTTTAACCCATTGTAATATTCTTATGCAGTTATTCTATATAATAGGTGCTACCTACAGTTTCAGCTTTATAACTTCTGATTGCTGTTTAAGCATGATATAGACGGTGCTACATGTATGCACTCTTGGTGTGCACTTTGAAACAAGGTGTGATTTTACCGCATACATGTCTGCAGACCAAAATTTGTATGCATACTAAGTTCATATCTCATAAACATATTCATATTAATACTCAACAACAACAATAACAACTTACAATTGCTTAATGACTTTATTTTTCTTTAGAAAGTCTTGTGCTGGTAACTTTAATAAAAATAATGGAACATCGCATCCTATAAAACCTATTGTATTATCTCTGGTATTAATTTCCTAAACTAATCTTTATAAACAAAAGTTACTGATATAAATCTATTAATATCTTTTAGTCAAGATCTCTCGTATGTGACTTAGTTCAATGAAAGTAATAAACAATCGCAAAGACATGTGCAAATAAAATAGGTAGACGTTTTCCAATATCTGCTGGTATCAGCATCCGTGAATTCTTAAAGCTTCATCATAATTATTTTAAACTAATTTGCTGCAAAATAGCAATCAACAATTAAAATAATTACATATCAATTACTTGATATGTAATTTCAAATATAATTTCTATATATATATATATAGATATTTGTCAATTATAGTTTAGCATATGATAATTTATATATGTGTATAGATATATGTCAATAAGTGTATATGTATATTTATACATAAATGTACTTATATATATATATATATATATATATTTGTAATACTTATTATAGCGAATTAATTTTAGGCGCAAGCAATGAAAAACCATACTTAGAAATCAATTAAAATATTGTTTACGCAAATACATTTCAAAACAATAACAAATAATTATTAATAAAAATTATAAACAAATCCTGTAATTGTTATTAAAAGAATTTTTTATGTCAAGAATGACGTATTAAGCTTGTTGTTGTTAGATGAATTCATAAAATAAAAAACAATGGAAAATTCTAATAATTTTAACCTCCACTAATGATAATAATTTGTTTATTTCAAGTTAAAAATGAATACTACTTGAAGTGCAAATTTCCTCATTTATTATTGTGTAATATTACTAATTTCTATATACTATAGCAATAGAAATTTTAGACGTCATACATTTATTTTAATCATTTTTATATACAAAAACGTTCAATTAATACGTTCTTAGCAAAATCTGCTGATTACTTCCTATTTTCAATAGATATATTAATTTAACATTAATTTACATATACATATATATAGTTGAAATAATGCTTCAGTTTCATCTCAATTGTTTAAAACTATATTAAAGTATTTAAAGTTGTGGCATATATTTAAGAATTTTAAATTAGAACTGTCGGCCAGGATTTAAAATCAAAGAAAAGAATGCAAATAAAACTGACTTATATTAAAGTCACAAAGTCTGTAAGTCTGGAAACTACATCTGGTTTTTAAATACAGGCTTTAACACCCACACCGTCTGTCAGTCCAGGAGCTGGTATTAGTGGTAACCTCTAACCAGGTCTTATAAATTCAAGATATATCTAAGAAAGTACGAACCAAACAACAGTTCAAAATCATCTTACTTTATAAAATCTAGCCACATTTCTGAAGCTCATCTCATTTCTATAGATGAGAAACGCCTGTAACTTAAAAGTCAGTTGAAAAACTAATACTTAAAAAAAATATATTTGTTATATAGAAATGATTTCCTTTTATTGAAAAATATTGACTCATAACGTATGGTTTTTAACCTAGAACCTCATATGAAAACTTTCAAACTTATCGCTATTGAAACTTCCGGTATCTAAAAAATGATTTGTTGTAAATTACCGTGTAATTGAAAAATAAAACATTTTGTCATTAATCAATAATTTAATTAAAATGTAAGAAAAAACTTTAGACTGACTAATGCACTTTACAACTAATTTCTAAGAATAAACATATTTCTCATACTTGCGAAATTTTAATATTCAATAGAATTACTTTCAATAGAGTGATATGTTTTTGTATTATATCTTTAGTTTCTTCAAATAACTCATTTTTGTTTACATATCTGGTCACTTTAATAATTCATAAATCTTCAATATATTGGACGGAACCTGAATCATCATCAGCTGTATTGTGTTGCTATTCTTCACATGCCTGCCATGTGCTTTGGGTTTTATTATTTGCCGCTCACATTTCCACGGATCTCATTAAATAATATTTTTAGCTCTCTCTCTCTCTCGCTCTCTTCTTTGCCGTCTTGGTGAGAGTTCAACAAGACATGAATGATTAATATGCCATGTGTTTATTGTAGCGCTACACTGCGCTGTTAGCATGGTTTGTGCTTCACACAAACATGAATGAGACGAAGATATGAATGAAATATTATGTAGTAGATTGTGAGTACTATAGTTTGCCAACACTTGTAACTACTTATTATATGACGATTTATTGACGTATTACCTAAAATTTATAATCAAATAAAAATATGTATAAGATTGGAGGTACAGAGATATATATAAGTATATACTCCATTGCAGCGAGCAGTTCAGTATTTCTTCTGGTAGAACCTTGATCAAGAATTTGAATAATTTCGACGATAGACATTAATTTTTAAGCTATGTGAATATCATATTGCCGGAAATCGAATCCAATTTTAAGTCATTATCTAAAATTCATATATATTTTCTCTTGAAAATTGAAACTAATTTTTTACGAGATATGTAAAAAACAATATTGATAATATCTTCTCTTAACATGTGATGCTGCACTATCACCAATTTTCTTAACTATGCGCTTCCTGGCTGCCGGTACAGCCCTCAACTTATTAGAAACGTTCTCATATCTATTTAACCATTGTTGTGATAGTTTTATTGATTTTGAGAATGTTAAATCTGCACAAAAAATATCTACCTTGTATTGCTTAAACAGAGCGATGGTGTTTTTGGTCCAAAGTCTGTAATCGCCACACGCAACTCGCGGAGACCTTTTTCTTTTTTAAATCTTTAGACAACTTTTTGCAAATGATGCCAACCCACACGTTCGATTGCTACGACGATTTTTCGACTTCTTTCCAGTATTGTGTTAAGAATGATAATACCTTTGAACTGTATGACCTGCTGACAAAGTAAATGTCAAACTTAATATGTAAAATGACTAAGTGAACATAGTTCCATATGACTGACTATAGTGTACTCCAAATGTTATATATCACTGGGTAAGAATTTAAATTCCAAAGTTTTCAGTTTTGCGTTTTACCAATTCAAGTAACTTTGGTTCTAGCCTTCTTTGTTTTGTTTCTCTTTCTCTTTGTTTTTTATTTTCCTCCACATGCTTTGGTAATTGTTTACTCTTTGCTATTTTTTTTTTGTTGTGTACACACAATTGTTTTGCACTGTTGAGACGTTATATGATATATACTCGTATATCTGTGGCTCTCTCTGTAGCGAGGAGACACCACGTGTTTTATAATCAATGCGGTTTGTTTCCTTCAGTCTCAGTTCCGCTAATTTTTCGATTCTGTTTTAAGTTTTAGGGTTGCCACATTGTGTGCGTTCAAACTTAATTCTTACTGAATTGTAAAAAGTACTGTATTACTAAGCATGTAATCCCACTCATGGATTATGAAATTATTGGCTGGAACCTTTTGCCGCAATTCTAATGTGTCCATATCTGTCTATTACGCATCGCTAAGCATTTGCTGATAAGAACGCGGAAATATTAGAAAATTTTATTTAAATAAACTTTACCCCAAATAAATATTTTTATCACTGAAATCTGTAATTTGTAAAATTTGTTCAGTATTTTGTATAATATTATTTTGAACACAAGCAAAGAAATACGTTTTTATTTCAACTTTTTGAGATAGTGTTTCCTATAAACGCATTTCAAAATAAAATTTAATAAGGTTTTCATATTCATAAGCATATTAGTACTTTTGGATATATGCTGACTCCTCCTAACATACCAATTGTATTCCATTGTAGAATACTCAGTGTGTATTCCATTACTCAGAAAATAATGTTTGTTATTTTCTGAGTAACGACTTTACTCCATTCGGGATCGGGTACAAATTTGTATCCGCCAAGGATCATATGATCGACTGCATGGGACGTAAAATAGTAGTTACAGCACATATTACAATGCGCGGCTATATTTGAACTTAAATTGAACTGAATCAGCTATGCAATCTTTGTTTTTCCTAAGGTATACTCGCTCCCATTGATCACACTGCATCAGGCTAAAACCTTGCGTTTATAGCCAGCGTCATAGTAATCCACTGTATTGTAATGAAATGGATGTTTCATTACAAAAGGTATCGATGTATATAACATTGCACGCACAGGGTATTATGGGAATAAAAAATCAGATGATTAAACCAGAGTGTAGGAACTGAAATTGGTTTTAAATAATCCAGCTCCACCTTGATCTTTTCAGCTAAAGATTGAAATAATGCCATTTTTAAATGAACAATAGAACAAAGTGACTCTTTTCTATCCAGTTAGAATACACAAGAAAATTTTTGTTCTTCAACAAAAAAGAGAAGGGGTAACAACCCAAAATATGTGATTTAAGAATTCTATGTAGAAGCACCAGGATACAAATACCACGGCAATTAATAATAAACAGCACCAAGTACTAACAACAATAAACTGTACCGAAAATAAATTCGAGAGCTGGTCCGTTTTCTTAACAGAATAAAAGGTCAATAAGCTTTACAAGGGGTGCAACTTGAGTTCGCAGTACACAAAGATATTTTGAATCTAACACCTTCTTCACTCCAATCAAACCAATATATGACAAGAAGACTAAACTTCTTATATTTATTTGATAAGTCCAAAAACAGAGTTCAATTTCAGTCATAACTGACAGCACAGACAGATAAAGAAGGTAACATCGGCAATCATGCAGCCATATAATCAGATTTTTGGTACATTTGAACTGTTCTGCTTTCATTTCTTTAGTTTTTATTACACATACGAATTTTTCAAGTTAGTATCAATTTTTCAACTGATCCATAAAAGTCCATATCGTAGATATGGTGATCAAGAATGTACTTGATTTACTATAAGTAGTCTTCTTCACTTCTTCAAAGATATTTTGTCTAATTTAATAAAACTATTTAAAAGAGTGTGTGCAGGGCACAAACCCTTCCCACTATTCAACATCTAAGTTTTAGAAGGTTTTTCAATTTTTACTGTTACTGTTGAACGTTCTTAGAACTATATTTCTTGGAACTTGAACGTGCTCTACCTGCCTACATATATACTTTATATGTACACATATGCAGTTGCAATGAATAGTGGCGCAATATTATAAAATATACTTGTCGACTCATTGCTTGTTATTGCAAACAAAAGTTAATAGTTCAACGTTTCTAATTCCTGGTACTGATAATTATAAATATTTTGTTCACCGACTGATCCATTGCCCTAGCATTTATTAGTTCAACGTACGATCACTACTCTATCGCTACGTTCGACACACACAATTATCTTGGCAATATTTTCAACGCTTGTCAATGATAACAAATCGATGCAATATTAAAAACAAAACATGTTTTTAATGCATCTCGTGTAACCCAACTGATTACCGATTACTGATAACAGCAGATACTCGAACTAGTATCAATTCCGTACATATATATATATACATATATATATAGTCTCTACCGCTTTGATGTTTTAATTGTTGTTATTATTATACTATATGTTCCTAGCTAGTGTCAAATTCATTGCTATTTATTATTGATGCAATAACTGTTAAATATAATCTAATATAAAAATTACAGTGTGTATTATTCCACATAAAAAGTTTTTCGTTTCATACTCCGAAATTATGAAAGAAGTCGTGGTTGGTTGTGTCTACGTCATCAAAAATCTGTTGACACGAGGCAATGTGTCTGAAGTGTCCAAGCATTCTCGTCAAGTTCCTATTTCTGTTTTTTGTAACATTAAAACCCAGTCAGTCGAAATTCTATCGCTTTTCGATTGCAGACCGAAAAAATCATATTCGCTAAAAATGCTAATGCCATCGAGATACTTTTACTTTTTTATATAATTTATATATTTTGCAATTTAAAGTCACGTTTAGTTTCTGCTTACCTCAGCTGGCATATAATTGTGCTCCTTGACTTTGATGAAGTCTTTATAACTTTGATTGGGAAAAATTTGTTAAAAATTTAAAATTTAAAAAAATAATTTTTGAAATTAAACTAAAATGGGAAAAAGCTTTTTTTTAAGAATTTAATTTCTCAATAGTAGATTTAGGGCTGAGTCGTAACTAAAGTCTCAATTCTGACTTAAGTCATAAATATTGCTGATTTTATTTAAACTTAACTCCTTTAAAGCTTAATTAACGACTGTGAAATCGACCTTAGTCTATTATTTTATATTTGAAGAAGATCACAACCAAGATAAAAAATACTACATACAGTGAGAAGGCTCCCTTGAGTCTTGAGTCGACCAGTTAGACCAGAACTACTGACCGGTAAAGAGAACTGTCCGTTTGAGTGACAAATAAAAACTGAGGTCTGCTAACATTACAGATTTGAGACAAATGTCCGTTTCACATAATAGAGATATGACTGTACTAATATACTTGCTATAGTGTTCGTTTAGAAAATGTCAGAGATAACTAAATCATATACATATGTAGATGTCCACGCCTGAACACAACTCTAACTCATTCTAACTTAAAAATTTTTTTTTGATATTTTGTGACGGAAACATCTCAATCTTTGTACAGCTTTTAAGGGAGAACTTTTTAACAAAAACTCTATAAATACTTTCTTATTTTTTATAAATACTTTCATTAATTTTTGACGTATGTTACGTAAGTATGTCTACGTATGTTATGTCTGTTGCTTATTTAATCAGCTATAGTTCTTTTCTTTAAAGAGTAGCTTTATCAAAGGTTCAAAACCCTTTTTGGTTTTTATACAAAGAGGCAACAGGCGAATTGACCCCGATCGTCGTTTAAACTTAACCTAACCTAAGATTGCTCTTTGTTACTGGCTTTTATTGGGTTTCATTTCTTTAGCATTTCTTTCACTCCGTCGTTTGCTACGTCGTCGTTTAAGAATTCTCAAAATTTCAAAATACAAATCACTATTCCGATATTATGTTCTGGGCACGCAATTGTGACATCATGGGTCATTCGTTTTAAAAACAGTTTTTTAGTTTGGTGTTCATTGGATATATTCTCTCTGCTTATGATAGTTGAAAATAACATAAAATTTGACTGAAACTAAAAATAAATAAAAGATTTGAATATGGAATAAAAGTTCAAATAATAATGAAATAAGTAAAATAAATTTCCTCTAATATCGTAAAGAATTTAGCCTTTGAATTCTTCACATTTTTCAATTTTTCATCTACAAAAAACTTTTTTCACATATATTTTTAATCTTTACTTTATGGTTCTTTCTTTTTTCTATACATAAATTTGATTTATTTTAAAATATTTATTTTTTTCTTCTATTTTTAGATAAAATGTGCGATCAAATCAGTGATGCCATTTTGGATGCACACTTGAAACAAGATCCCAATGCTAAAGTTGCTTGTGGTAAATATACTAAAATTAAGTGCAATCACCTCTCCGGAAATCTCTTCATAATATTTCAAAATATTTTCTTATTAATCACATGAGGAAGAATCAATATTTAAATAATAGTTTTTATTTAATCAATTTAATTTGAAGCAAATAGCAAATATAGAGTTTTATAGAGTTTTGGCAATAATATATTTTTTTAGTGGATGCAGATAAGATGTAATAATAACAGATAATATTAGTAATACCTTTAAAATTGCTGTAGAATAATCGAATCTTTTATTCGCTGCACAAAATCATATATATGAAACGAGAAAATCAAATATTATGATTATAGAAATGAAAGAATTACGCTTAGTCCAAGTCGATATATTCAACTCATTGTCTTTGTAGTTAGAACCTTGTTCGGAAATGTGTTTCCAAGAAATGTGCATGCGAAAAAGTAATAAGAAAAGAGAAAAGTACTGATTTTGATTTGATGAATTAAGCAAAAACAAATTTCATATCCTTACGCCTACCCTACAACCCATATTTTTTTCTAATTCCATCACAATACAATACATCATAGGTTCCATTAGGCACGAGTTCAGCCCTTTTGGTATTTGTAGTCTCAAAAAGTTATTTGGGAATAATTAAATATAAGAAATACTTTTACGACCACTGGTGATGGTTATTTGGCAATACTCGAAAGAGCTGAATGATTAGCGAAAAATTCAGTTAATTAATAAAATAATGAAAATTTATTGTTTTAATTAATACTATTCGAAATACCTTTCTATTGGAAACGTTAGTTTGTATTAAGAATTTAGTTTCTTTCGTCAAAACCGAGGTAAAAATTCAATTTAGTACAACTTTATGCAACTCTACACGCGTTTCCTATAAACCGTTGATGGTCTCTTTCTTTATGACTGCGCCTAGCTTTGATCTGGGCCAGATGAAAGACTGCTAGGACGATAATTCCTAACCTCCTCCGAAGTTAGAATATGCTCAACAGCTGACATTTTAGCTTTTCTACGAGAGGGGAATTGTCTTCTGTTGGTAAATTAATCATGGTCTCAGTGTTCTGCTCCTCTAAAGCGAAGACCCGGTTGTTATTCTCTATAGCATATTTAAGTATGCTGTTTTTTTTTAACGCCCAATAAGTTGTTACTAAATTTGCAACTATATTTCATTTGCAATAACTAATATTCCAATATAATAAATCATAATTTTTACATTATGATTGGCTACATCCAATTTATTCTACAGCAATTTTTCGTGGGTCCCAAATAGCCATATACATCCATCCTATATACATCGAAGAGATTATTTCTAACAATAGATTATTTCTGTTTAGAACGAATATCTCTGACTTTGAAAGCATTGAGGTTCGGGGTGTTGTCGATCGTTATATTGTCATTAACCTCTCTCTTGGGGGTTTGATGCAAAATCATCATAGATTTTTGTAAAGGATAAAAAAAAACTTAAGATGGTAGCTTTTTTATGTTGAAATGGTTGTGAAGAACGTCAGTTGTAACATATGTATGATACGATTAATGATCGTTTCACATTTGAATTATAAAAGTTATTAATTGTTTGCAATTAATAATATATATATGTTATATATATATATCGAAATGTATTATAATTAATTGTAATTTAATTCTTATATAGAAACTGTTGCAAAAACCGGCATGATATTGCTCTGCGGCGAAATTACTTCCAAAGCAGTTGTGGATTATCAAAAAGTCGTACGAGACACAGTAAAACACATTGGCTACGATGATTCCTCGAAAGGTAAATTCTCATTTTCATTTATTAATCGATAAATAGCAAAAACAAAAGTTTGTTCTAAAAAAATGTTTAAACCGTTAGAATACAGATGAAAGATATAGATATATCTCTCCTTATGTATTTTTGTGGGGTGTTACAGTAACTCATTTAAAATTTTGAATTATTTATTATTATGAAAAATAAAAAATAAACATTAATAACTTTTAAATAACAAATATAAAATCGAATTCATAAACAAAAGGTTTCGATTGGAAAACTTTGAATTTGCTCATTGCTATTGAACAGCAATCGCCCGATATTGCCAACGGTGTACATGTGAATCGTGAGGAAGAAGATGTGGGCGCTGGTGATCAGGTACTTTCAACAACTTTCAACTTAAACGATCGTTTTTTCTATATAGTTTTGTACTTGCTGGGCAATGTTAACTTCTTGTTCTTATTTAAAAATCGATTTCGAAATCTAACCTCATTTTAACGTGATATTTTTTTTCAGCAGCAAAAAAATGAAAAATTTGCATGTCAGCTCATACAAAAAAATAATCCTTTATCCTTTCAAGTATTTCGCATTTAATTTGCAATGGGTTCTGTTGCAGATTAAAGCTATCCTTCATGTGTATGTTTTACATTTTTGAAATTCATTAAAAAGTGTTGTTCTATTTTTTGACCACTGAAATGGGATTTTATATAAAAAGAATAATCTAAAATAATCTAAAATATATATATATATATATATAAACGGTGCATTCATAACAAAAATCATTGAAATATATTTAAAGGTTAACATGTTAGAGATCATGAGATTTAAAAAGAATCGTAACAGATATGTGTTAAATGGTCCTATATTATATATTATAGCAGAGTTGTTATAATATTCCGCCCTTAGAAAATAGTCAATATGAAATAAATCCAATATAAAAAACTAAATAACATTTAAAGTTCCCAACAAAAAAGTTGTCTATGAAACAAACACACTATCGATGAAGAATGAACTCAAAATAATGAAACAATTTTATTATATATTATAGTTTGGAATATGTGTGTTCTACGATCACATAGCCACATGTAAGATAGAAAAACCTTACAACAATTAGTTTATCTCCTTAAATAATAGATATCTGATAATTGATGTTAAATAGCATCCGGAACAACAATGTGTTATGTTTACCAGAGAGTAGCTTACTCTAGTTATTGTCAAGTAAATTAAATGCACACTGAACTGAAAACTTCTACATAATCGTGGGAAGTATTGCCAAGTATTTTAGTGTTATTTTATATTCCCGAAGTTTTGTAATTTCTTCCAGAATTTATTCAGATATTTCTGAGTTATAAGAGATGTACGTATAATACGCGAAGGAATGTTAATGAAATTGCAAATAAAGTGAATTGAAATTATGGAGAAGTAATATGGCGTGCGACTACAAACCAAGTGCTGGATGCACGTTATGCATCGGTAGATAAACGAAAGAAGCACTTCGGTTCCCACCTAATATCGAAATGAAGAAATAAAACTTGCTAAAATACTTGCTTCCACATGTTACAATTAACAATTTAAAACAAGAAATATTGTATATTGAATTTTAGAAGTGAAACTTAATACAGGAACGTCCACAGAATTTTTACATTTATAAACAATTATTGACTGATCTTTCTTAAGAGTTTGCATTAATGTAAACATATCTAGTACACACGATATAGCTATAGTAACTGACTGACTACAGTAACTAGCTTGTAATATATGTACTCTGCTGTAACTAGCTATAGCTGCTGGCTGCTATATTCCATCCATATAACTGAACAACAAGAGTTCAGAGAGTGTCGCCAACTACTACGGTAGCGGGAGACTGTAATTAATTCGTGTGTATTTATATTCTCTGAGCATATTCTCTCAGAGTATTAGTTATAAGCAGGAAAAGCTATTTAACATTAAATGCATGCTCTGGTAAGAAAATACTTATAGTGCGGTTGTAAAAATAATCCATATATAAAATATATATATTGTATTTAACATATATATATATATATATATAAGCAATATGTACTGGGATTTCTGTTGTCTGTTGTGATTGTCTTAAAAATAGAATTTACATATATTATAAATCTCGATCGCAATTGAAAGGATAAATTTGTCTTAAAACGAGTTTACTCACGTTTACTATAATTACTATTCATTAGCAGTAATTAACAGTAATCTGTGTAAAATATAGTTTATTGAAACTTTTTAAGACAATTTTGAAATATCTCTCATAAATATACTAATTCATTTATATAGCGTTAATTATTGTCTAATTTTATTTTATTTGTTTTGCATTTTCTCTTTCTTTTCATAATTCAAACAAATTTAAAACATCATACTAAATCGTATGCATATGAATGAAATAATAATTAAAAAAAGGTTTTGACTATAAAACGTGCAACGTTTTATTAGCATTGGACCAACAATCGCCCGAAATCGCAGCTGGAGTGCATGAAAATCGTGCCGAAGAAGAAATCGGTGCCGGAGATCAGGTTGGGAAGAAGAACACATAAAACTCAAATTAGAATGCTAAGCCCGCAAAATGTTTTTCTAGTACTATAACCATTTTCTTTCTTTCTTTTTTTGTTTTTAATTCAGTTAAATGTAAATTTTAATATTTGTTATTGTACATATTTAGCACTTTTATGTTTGTAAAAATAATAAAAACTTGGCTTGGCTGGCTGCCTCTTTTATGCTATCCACCAACATACACTACTCAATCTTAAAATGCATATTGCATACTGCACATAATTTTGTCAAAATTGCTTAACTCTCTAAGCAAACTTAGCAAGACTAAGTCAAAATTATTTAGAACGGCAAACTGTATATTTTGGAATCCTCAGAAATTCTTAAACTGAATTCCCCAATCTTTCATAGCGCTCTGAGGTTACTGCAAAGTATACGAGTAAGATCAATCTTTTAGATTGATATAATACGCACATTATATTTGTTAATAAACTAGCATAAAAAGGTTGCAGAACATATCCAAAAATATTCTAACGCCGTCTCTCCTAATAGTCGCAAATGAAAAACGTATAATTGTTTGTGATATTTCAGGTGACTTTTTTTCAGTCTCGCAATCATATTGACAATGATACCTTTTGATATTGTAATCTATTAAGTGATGGCGCTAGCAACTTCTTCAATGTTGATGAAAATGTTCTGGAACTTGTTAAATGAAACATTCATTGTAGTTCATTTGATTTAATATATATGATTAAAGTCTTGCTCTCCTGGGTGTTTGTGTATTTAAACAATATGTCACTTCATTTAATTTCTATTTTTCTATTTTTATATATCTTTATGTATAAAAAAATTAACATTTTTAAATTAATCGAAAATAATAATTGTATATATCATAGAAAATTTTTGGTTCTGCGACTTGGTCCAAATTTATCGAATAATTATTTTTTCAAATCGGTGAAATTACAGCAGTTTTAGTATGAAACTTTTACTAATCCGTCTTTGTTTTTTTTTTTTTTTTTATGTAAACATTTGCTTGCATTTATTTGTTGCTTTTATTATTATTATTATTTTTTTATTTATATATTGTTGTTATGCTTTGGTTTTAATTATATTGTATATTTACGTTACACACTAACTGATTATCACGTTTATTGCTTTATTATTAGTAATAACAGAAAATTTAAAATATATTATAATTTATTTTTAAATTATTCAGGGTATTATGTTTGGATATGCCACCGATGAAACAGAAGAATGCATGCCTTTAACTGTTGTTTTGGCTCACAAATTGAATGAAAAAATCGCCGAGCTTCGCCGTTCAGGAGAATTCTGGTGGGCACGTCCTGACTCCAAAACACAAGTAAGTTGGCAATAACATCAAATTTACTAAATAGTTAAACTATAATGAATACAATGGAATTCTAATAAGGTTATACATATCTCTTTTTTATAGACCGTTATTTACTATACGCTTGTTGTTGTAACGCACCTGTAATTCTAAAAGCACGTCGTCTGCTTTTAGAATTACAATTGAGAAGAATTAATAGCATTTAATCGTTTGAGAAAAAACCACCCCCCACATGCTTCTGCAGTTTTTGTAATCCATTAATTTTTTCTTTAAACTTCATAGTGAGATTTAATCTAGATAGCTCAGTCAGTTCCATGTAACTCATAATCCCTCAAATGACCGCCTCCACATTTTAAACTCCTTCAATAAGTGTAAGCGACTATATAAAGTAGAACGTTTACTTGTCTACTAAATCTGAAGTGTGACAGATTGATAAAAATTAATTTTTCATATAAGATAGATTAAGAATTATTCGGCATTTTTCTCTTTATTAGACATTAGACATTGACGTACAAATACTTTGAAATAGTTCGTTTCTACTTTAATTTAACAGATTACGATTACTGCTTTATGTTAAGAAATATTGCAAATAAAGGACGAAAAAAAATTTCAGAAAAAAAAGTCCAATGTATTTTACAGTTCAACTATGGTAGTGAGAGAAAAGAGAAGAGAAGAAAGAAACATGATACTTACATGATATTTAACTGCTGATAGTTGTTGTTGTCGCAATCCGTTGGGACCAGTAACCAGATAGCTTGTGAAGTTACTTTGAGAACGAGTGGCTCCGGGACGTAGACCCGGCCATTCCTGGAACTCCTGCTGATGGTGGTAAACGTCACTTGACCTTTTAGGTAGATGGGAAGGTCTAAAATGTTGTTCGTGCTGTAGTAACTCAGATATCTGGAAAGTAGGTAGTAGAAAAGACTACTTGGACGATAATATAGTAGGGGATGGTGAGTGGGAATAAGGTAGAATAAAGAAGAGGGTGGGTGAGAGTTATTGAACGTAGCCTGGGTGTGATGAGACGTATTCCCTTTTAATCCTCATTTAAACGTAGACACGATTAGTTTTCTTTTAGTTTATTTATTCTTGGTTACATTTATAATAATAACTTGAACAAATGTAATTTTTAACTTGTAGGTAACTTGTGAATATCTTTTCAATCAAGGATCAGCTGTACCAAAACGTGTGCACACCATTGTTGTTTCTATGCAGCATTCAGAAAAAATCACGCTTAACGACTTGCGTTCAGAGGTTATGAATAAAGTCATTAAAGAAGTCATTCCCGCCAAATATTTTGACGCCAATACAATTGTGCATATTAATCCATGCGGACTATTCGTTATTGGTGGTCCAATGGGTGATGCTGGTCTGACTGGTCGTAAGATAATTGTCGACACCTATGGTGGTTGGGGTGCACACGGTGGTGGCGCATTCTCAGGCAAAGATTTTACAAAGGTAGACAGATCCGCCGCCTATGCAGCACGTTGGGTTGCCAAATCATTAGTAAAGGCAGGCTTATGCAAACGTTGTCTCGTACAGGTTTCATATGCCATCGGCATGGCTGAGCCATTATCAATAACTGTGTTCGATTTTGGTACTTCACACAAGACGCAAAAGGAATTGCTTGACATAATTAAGCGCAATTTCGATTTGCGACCAGGCGTAATTGTTAAGTAAGTTAACTAACAAAAATAGCATCACTTTTATTTTATATTCGCATATTCTATGTACAATATTAATCACATAATTATTTTTTACATTATAGAGACCTCAACCTAAGACAGCCAATATATCAGCGCACAAGTACTTATGGACATTTTGGACGCGACGGCTTCTCATGGGAACAGGCCAAGCATTTGGAAATCAATTGACTAGACGCTGACGTACAGCAGCTGTTAAAGCCACCCTGTGCTAAAAAGTGTAAAACTGCGTAATTTTTAGTTTATAATTTAAACAATTTTTCATTAGTTTAAGACAAGTAAAGCCACTAAAATTCTACGTCTGTGGCTTTCTGTTTCTGTTTCTGTTTCTTTTTTATTTTCATTTTTTTTTTGTTCTACTATATACATTATATATTTTTTAACTCTACATTAATTTAGATGTTAGCTGCCAAACAAAAAGAACATTTACTTAAGTGATATGTATGTGTATTTACTACATGCATTATGTCGAAATGTATATAATTTTTAATGTTAAATGTATTATTTGTTAAAAACTGTATTTATTATATTTGCCATGCTGCTACATGTACGAGCACTGCACTTTATGTATAATGCAGTATTGTACTTGCTCGATAACTTAAAGAAAGTATGCGCAAGTTGCGTACATAAATCGCTAGGTTTATGAGACCCTAACAAACAAGTAAACAACATGACAGACATTTAACAATTTTCCGTTTTTCCGTTTTGCCGTATTATCGTATTACCGTTTCATAAATTTTATTGCCTGATTTGATGTAAAATTTTTTTGCAATATTCACTAATTATTATTATATATAAATATGATAAAAAATTTCTACTGTTAACTCTACTTTAAATTCTGTAATAATTTTATAAGTTATTAGAAGAAGAAATGTATCGGGTTTTTAATTAAATGTAAATGTTTTTAATAAGTATATATTTTTTAGTATGTAAATCAAAATATAATAGGTGTTTCTAATGTTCTAAATATTGAATATTGAAAAAAAAATCGGAAATGCAATTTGTAATTAAAAGAAGTCAGAATTCTTTACAGTAGAAGAGTCTTATTGTCCAAATGAATTGTAAACAAAATCGAAATATAACATTAAAGAAACAAAATACGACAAAAAATTAAAACAGTTTTGATTTTGTAATATCGTAGAGAAGAGTTGCTTTACAATATATGTCGCATATTTTATATAAATTAAAATTTAAACAAAAATACATAAAAAATAAATAATTAACTGAATTAAAAAAAAAAGTAAAAATAATGTAAGCTAAGCGAATACCATTTTAATAGTAATATTTAATTTTATTAAATAAAATGTATTTCGAAATTTGCATCGCATCTGTATATGCACGTAATTAGTTAAAAGCGAAATCGGCATACAAAAGTCAATAAGCAAGATACCAACAACGTCAATAACAAAGATTGAATTTTTCAAATGTCAACCCTTCCCATTGATAATATTAAAAACTATAACATAATTAAATGAAATGTAAGTAGCTTCAAAATTAATTATAACATAAAAAAGTTTTAATAAAAATTCAATTAAAAATAATTGCGTTTCTAAATGATCTTAAAATATATTTTTAAATACTGGAGCGGAGGAACCCAACATCGACAGGTCCAGCCAAATTCGAAAATTTTGAAATTGATTAACGTTTTAACCGAACAAGCTAATGCTGCACCAAATGTACGTTTATCAAGTTTCAAGTAGTGCTGTTCATATTATTCGAATATTTTAAAAACCGAAGATATCCGATTAATCGGATAACAACGAAGTCTTCTTGTTGTCTCAAGACCCTGATCATAAAAACATGGCGTTTACTCAATGCATGTAGCTGAACTTACTCCAAAATTCACTTTTGAAGCATCCATAAAAACTGTGATGTCGAAGTCCCACAATCTCGTCTCTTTTTAATTTTTAAATCTTTTACATTTAGGATTAAAGGATCAACAATTTCTCTCTCTAGCAATCCGTTTTTTTTTACTTAAGTACAGGCTTCTCACGGTTATGATTTCACTGTATTTTTATGGTTGTACTATCTAGTATGGCTAAGAAGGAAAAAAAAACATTGAAGAAGTTTATCGTGTTTTCTATTTGTGGTGTTAGTGAGTAAATTCTTTAAATACTTGAGGCGCGCATCGCTACATAGTTGATAAAAAATAACCATCAGGTAATCAGAATAATGCTCGTCACAAATATAGTTCTTTAAAGCATATAATCTAAGAACTTAGAATCATATACCAGCTCACTATTCAAAACAATATTCTACAGCCGCATAAGAGATTGTAATTACACTACAATGTCTAAATTTTGTCTTCAATGTTCCTGTAACTTCATAAAGTTAGAATTAAGAATCCATTAACCTTTTCCTACCATGCGGGGCATTATAGGTTGATTCTAGAGCACCGTATGATCATGTGTTCCATGCATACCCTATGATATTAGTACTATTTGCACGCGATATTCTCTTATACGCGTGATGATGGCATTGCTATCCTTGCATTTCTCGGACAGTCAACTAGTTGTTGATGACCATACTTTCAAATAACGACGATATCAGTTTGAAGTTCCCACTAAGAATTTTCTTTCTTATAAATGCCATTACCGGCTTTGCAGATAACTCGGATGCTGAGTCTGAATGGTGATGAATAGATCTCGCAGAATAAGAGCTTAGCCATCACCACATTAATATTGTTCAGAGAATTAACATATAGTAGCTTGAAAACAGTAAACGCATGACTAAGAAATAGACTGATTATTCATTCAAAATAATACTTTAGTAGTAACTTAATTGTACTGTATCAAGAAATTAAATAGATCCCTATCCGAACAAAATAAAAACATATTAATTTTTTTTTTCCTCCGTAATGTCGACCATTAGACATTACAAATTTATACAATCATATCCAAACATAGTATTTGTTAGTAATCTGGAACCTTCGAATTATAAACAACCTATAAAATAATCCGATAATATATAATTTAATAAGTATCGCCTTATTCACTCTCCACACTCACCAATTAGCAATTAAGCACAGGTGTTTTGATACAGAATTCACCAAACAACTCAAATACTAGAAAAATATTAATTTTCGGGGTTACAACCCCGTCGCGTGCAAGTGAAGTTATAAATAATTTTTTTTCAAATGGCGCGTCTGGCTCATCAATAGATTGAATCGATGATAAAAACTATAAACTCCATGCAATTGAAATCATAACAAAGTACAAAGCTGAGCAGTTAGAAGTGGTCTGTGCTCAGTGCAGATTTGGTGTTTTTAACAGCATGGGGATTTTTTTCCATTTACTACTCTTTCAAATTCTTTGTTTGGGGTTAGGAATGCAATTATACTCAGAGGATCAAGATGAGCCCGACAGCTGCATCAGTCGGAACTTGATACAACGGCTAGGTTTAAATAAAGAACTCTTTGATTTATGCGATTTACAACGGGAGCCGAGTTCAGTGAAACGCCATCGCCGACGTGTTGATACTACTTTCCATGGACATCCTAGGACAAGAGGCGAGGTTTTGGGTACGAAATTCCACATGAGCTTGTATAATTTTGATCAAACAAATTCATTGGTTACACTGATAAACAAAATCGCTGAGGAATATTTAGCTAAATGTCCGCCAGTTATATATTATGATAGTTTCGTGAAAAAATCTGATGGAATGATATTGGAAACGCTTTTTAAGGTAAGTGAAGAGCTGCGTTTTGTGATTACTGAAGAGAGTTTGATCAACACGTAAGCACATGATCTTTTCGAAGCTTTTTTATTGCTTAAAACTGTAGGAACTGCATTACCACGTGTGTGGAAACAACCACATGTTGTGTCCAATCGAAGTGGAAGATACATTTGTTTTTAATTTGTAAAGGCTGTATGCTGAGCACATACGAGAGCATATACATAATATCTAAAGTTCAGTACTGCATGTCTTATCTATTGGTTACGATTTCACATAGACGCTGCAACACTTGCATTGAACTTCGCAACTAAAGTTCTGCACTCTTAAGAAAACCCAAAAAACCCATAATGGTAACACGACAAATATCACCTTGCCATCATTTCTACAAGTTTGAGCTTACAGAATTTTTAAAGCAGCTTAATCTGATGAATACCTAACTTGGGCTTGACTTCTTTGAGAGTTAAATTTTCGTTTTCTTTAGTAAACTACAGAGACTACACTGCTCATGTCCCTACTAGATTTTTCAACAACTAATTGATTTGCCTTTCGCAATATATTTTTTTGTTCTTCTAATCCTCTCTTTCAGACATTACCAATGACATTTTATCATGGAGAAATAGACCCACACTATAAACTTCTAAATCCGCTCCTACAACGACGTTTAGATGTTAACTGCAAAAGTTATATATTATTTATGTCGGATCCATTAATGACTAGGCAAATTATAGGCCCACAAACTGAGAGCCGCGTTGTACTTGTGGCACGTTCATCACAATGGAAACTTAGAGATTTCCTAGCATCTGAAAAATCATCCAATATAGAAAATCTTTTAGTTGTGGGAGAATCTCTAACAGCAGACCCATTGCGTGTGAGTAATCAAATAAAAAAACATTTAAGTTTCTATAAATATATTACACTTTCCACAGGAACGTCCTTATGTTCTCTACACGCACAAATTATACACAGATGGTTTGGGTTCAAATACGCCGATAGTGCTCACTAGCTGGATAAAGGGTGCACTTAGTAGACCACATATCAATCTATTCCCACAAAAATTTAGCAATGGTTTTGCTGGACACCGCTTTCGGGTATCCGCAGTTAATCAACCGCCTTTTATATTTAGTACCAGATTTCTAGATATGGGCGGTATATCGAACACGCGCTGGGATGGTGTCGAGCTTCGCTTACTAAATATTATTTCAAAGAAATTAAATTTCTCTATAGATATAACCGAAACTCCCAAGAAATTAGGAAGTAAAAGGCAAGCTTATATTCATACAAAATTAACCATTATTCTTACTAAGTTTTGATACCTTCCCAGCCTTGTTGATGCTATACAAGAACAAATTGTCAAAAATAATGCTGACATTGGCATGTCTGGAGTTTATATTACAGAAGATCGTTTGCGGGATACAGATATGTCTGTTGGACACTCCCGTGATTGTGCAGCATTTATTACTTTAGCTTCGAAAGCATTACCTAAGTACAATTATTTTTTTTGGTTTCAATATAAAAATAACTTGCTTTGCTCTTTACTTCCCAGGTATCGTGCTATTATGGGTCCCTTTCAATGGCCCGTTTGGGTGGCACTTATTGGTGTATATTTAGGTGCAATTTTTCCTATTGTTTTTACGGATCGGTTAACATTAAGTCATCTCATTGGCAATTGGGGTGAGATGGAAAATATGTTTTGGTACGTCTTCGGCATGTTTACGAATAGTTTAACATTTTCCGGAAAATATTCCTGGGGTTCATCGGAAAAAACTTCTACTCGTCTATTGATTGGCGCTTATTGGTTTTTCACTATTATTATAACTGCTTGTTATACAGGCTCAATTATTGCTTTTGTAACGCTACCGGCATTTCCTGATACAGTAGATTCGGTACTAGACTTGTTGGGTTTGTTTTTCAGAGTTGGCACTTTAGGTACGCGGAAAGTTTTGTAAATTACATTTACTAAAATAACATAAACATATTTTTCGTTTATTTTAAAAAAGATAATGGTGGCTGGGAGAGCTGGTTTCAGAATTCCACACATTTTTCAACAGCGAAACTCTATAGAAAAATGGAATTCGTTGGATCGTTTGAAGAAGGTATAGGTAATGTTACACAAAGCTTCTTTTGGAATTATGCGTTTTTGGGCTCCAAGGCACAATTGGAGTATTTGGTGCAAAAAAATTTTTCGGATGAGTAAGTAAATAATGTGATGTTTTTAGTTAAGTTTAAGTTTTAGAGATATGAAGAGAGATACAGATATAATAGATGTAAAGAGGGAAAGAGATGAAGATAGAAGAAAATACTATTAAGGACATTTTATTTTTTTATTTATGTTTATTTTGAGTAGAAAAAAAAGTAATTCAAAATATTTTGCTGAATTAGATCAACTTATTGAGTTACAACAGGTACCGGTTGAAAAACTTACAGAAGGATAAAATAAAAAATATCTTATGTTTAGTTTTAATCTAAATGAAATGTTATTCAGGCCCTATGAAGTAGATTATAATATCTCATAGTGTAAATATGTGCAGGAAATTTGCGCTATTGTTCTAAAGATACTGGTCGTGTTCTCGAAATAAATACAAATATTGCAAAATTTATATGGTATATAGCAGATGTTAGTTGAAGTAAGATCCCATATGCTAGTAATATTAATATAATATTTGTTTAATGATAATCTATAGTTCTTCTAAACAATGTTCAGCAGTATAAAAATTATTAAATAATGAAGACAATGCTTTCTATTCTTTCTCTCTATTTACAGAAACATATCTCGTCGTTCAGCTTTACATTTGAGTGAGGAATGTTTTGCTCTCTTTCAAGTTGGCTACCTCTTTCCCAGAGATTCTGTATATAAACGTAAAATTGATTCTATGATATTGTTAGCACAACAAAGCGGCCTTTTGGAGAAGATAAGCAATGAGGTCAAATGGGCTATGCAGCGTTCTTCAAGTGGAAAATTATTGCAAGCCAGTTCAGCGAATCCACTACGAGAACGTATACAAGAAGAACGTCAACTAACTACTGCTGATACTGAAGGAATGTTTCTGCTAATGGGAATTGGTTATTTACTCGGTGCCATAGCATTAATTTCGGAAATTGTGGGAGGCATTACAAATAAATGTCGACAAATTATAAAACGCTCAAGAAGGCTTTCGACAAGTTGGTCTTCTAGAAACAGTTCCGCAGTCGATGGAGAAGTTCGTACTAAAGCGGAACAAAAGGCACACGATAAACGAAAAGCTGCACGGCGCAAAGCAATAGAAGATGAGGATAAGAAGAATAGAGGTTTTGGAATGAGAGAATTCAATCTAACCAAAACTACATTGAAAGAGCTCTACGGAAATTACTATAAACAACAACCGAATTACGTTTATAAAAATGGACAATTAATCTTAGAAACTGAAACTATTTCTACCGGATCAACAGATTGTAATTTCGATTGTTCGAACGGCGAAGAAGCAACTAACACGACTTCGTGTGACAAAAAATTAACACTGCACTGCAAGTCTGAGGAAATGGTTCTAGCCAATATTGAAATTCATCAGAGTATCACAGAAAATGATATCAATGATACTTTAGCCGAATTAGATAATTGCTTGAGTGAATATCATGCAAATGATGTAGTTGAAAATGAGCCACTGGAACTACAAAATGAGGATGAAGTTGTTATTCGCAAAATTGATGAACACAGCCTTTTTGGTAGTTTTGTTGAGATGAATTCAGATGAAGCAAAAAAAGAAAACAGCTTGGATTTGTTCGAAGACAAACAAAATTGAAAGATAGAGAAATTACTCAAGACTTGATATTGGAATTTAAAAAGTTGCAAACATTGTACTTGGTGTTTAATAATCTCACAGAACTAAAATAAAACACATGATTTTTAATTGTGAAAATTTATTTATGTTTCAATTCGATCTCTCTCGACTTAAGCATATTTATTCTAAACATCCTCCGATCCCATAAGATACATCCTATTTCTGCGATGTTTTCCAAAACAAAAATATCTGCAAAATATCAATTGTAGCTAATCTGGAACTTTATACCGAATTTTCGCGTTCAGTTCTTCTTAATGGTCGCAATAATAACCTGAGTTTACTTTTACGCCAAAGTATCATGATGTTGATCCAAATCTCGTCCATAATATTAAAACGATCCATATTTTAGTATTTATCTCCTCTTAAAATGTTAAAGATGATAGTAAGAAGACTGCATGCGAATGTGTTCTTGTTGCATTGTTAGCAAACGTAGCACCCACCCAATATCCGCAAACCTTTTTGAAAGCTCAAACTTGACACAAAATATTATTCACTATGCCTAATGAAATGCGTAGAACTACTACTTAGTCTCTCTTGGTCAATTGGCGATCTTCCAAAATCATACCCAAAATTTTTGCTTAGTATATTGTATTTTAATGTTGATAAAGTGAATGCACCTCTCGTTCATTGTCTTCAAGGCGTGAATGACTGCTTTTAAACAAACCAACCCACTTAGAGACCATAATTTTTTAATGTATAGATTCACCTTATTTATTTACTATTACTATTACAGCATTCACTTCCATTGCCTTTAAACCTTTTATATACAAACAAATTAATAACTATTCTATCATTAAAAAATACACTTAAGTGATACTTCAACATAATGGCTTTAATGGCTTTATTCTTATTAAGGATGAGGTACTAAAAAGGCCTCGTAGCCTTAGTTCTGCTGTCTGCAAACATATGATGATCCGATTTGCACGAAATATACTCAAAATACTCAATAGTTAAATATATATCTTATCCAAATATATTATATTTAAGTAATTTAAAAACTCTATTAAAATATTTAAAGTAGGGAGTAAGTAATACAGAGTAGTGATGATTTCAAAAACGGTCGGGTCTATGTCCCGGAGTTACTGATCGAGTCCAAAAAGGACTACACAAACAGATTCTTGCGGTCTACAACAACTGCAATAGAGTACTGATAGTAAATATTTATTTATATGTTATATATTTATTGTTTAATATGGTTAAGAATATATGCACGTTTTCAATTATAATTTAGGATACATATTATCCATTTTGTTTGATATTATCGATTTGTTTGATGTGATAAAAAGAACAGTCAATTATTCAAATAACAATTAAGATAAATTGCTTATGTTTAATATTCATCAAGCGAACATTTTGTTCGCTTGGGGCGAAAATTCTTGAGTAGGAATTTTGGAGTTACAAAGGAAACACACACGGGTCTATATCCCGGAGTCAATCATGGAGTCACTCACGACCAAGTGCCGTACGGCACTTTCAAACGGGACTACACAAGCAAATTCTTGCGGTCTACAACAACAGCAATAAAGTATTGATAGTAAATAGTTATTTATATGTTATATATTCATTAAGAATTTAAGAATATATGCAAGTCTTCAACATTTTGTTCGCTTGGGGCGAAAATTATTGAGTAGAGACACGCAATATGTGTGTTTGCAAGCAAATATCGATGAGTGGTATGTGAATCTTCCTGCTCCTCAAACAAAACAGCAGTTCATTCTTTAAAACTAATAAGTAAAACATAATTATATATAATTTTTTCTAGTGTATATTTTTCAAATATATATATCATTATCATGTATTTCACGTAATATAATATATATATTCATACACACATGTACATATATATATATATAGATATATATATATATATATATGCATATGTATACGTATATAAAGGGTATAGCATTCATAATATTATTAATTACAAAATTTTATTTGAATATAACTAAAAATAAGATTATTTTATGAATTTTTTTCAGTATTATTTAAATTAAAACTAGAATACTACATCACAGAAATTTTCAAGAGAAAAAACAATAATATTTTTTTATACATATAAGTGAAAATATATATATGATATATGTATAAAATACCTTAAAAATTGATAGACAACTTTATAACGCTTAAAAATGATGTTAAAATTCAAATTAAAACTAAAACAATTGAACAAAATAACTTAAAATTAAATTAAAGTAATTTTGTGCTTTCACATTCATTAAAATAATGTATCTTTCGCACCATATCTGAACACTTGAATTATTGAATTATTACTACTTTTGAGCATAGTTGCTTACTTTAGATATATAGATATAAATATAGATATAGATATAGATAATATGTATATGTATATGTATATGTATATGTATATATTGTATTGTAGTTTACGGCTTATAGTTTATAAGATTAATTATATTATATAGTTGTGTAATTATATTTATTGTTTAAAGCAGAAATGGCTAAAAACAAAATCTGTATATCAATTATAAAATTTCTTTAAAAATATAAATATATTTAAGATATGTTTTATATATATAGCAACATTAAATTAAATAATTATATTTAGTTTTCTTAAACGTAATCACAAAAAAGATGGCGCTAACGCAAATAAGTATTTGTTCAGATTTGCTAAATACGTTATTGTGTGTGTATAAATGCATCTACATATTTATCAATAGATACTGATTCCCATCTATGTTTATTGCTTTCTTGTTTCACTGGATCAGTTATATCCTAGGAAATATCACGTTTTCGGACACCGCACATAGCGCAGCACTGCATAACCCAAGCCGCGAAATACCAGAAAAAACATCATCAGTATAAGCGTGTTTAGCCAAAGTGGAGATGTTGAGTTCTGAGCTTTAAGAATTTCTTCATATGGAATGAATGCGATTGTATTATTCTTACATATACCATAGCTACTCGGATTACCGCAACTGAAATTTGAAAAAAAAAAACAACCATTAAAGGTTAATTAAAATCGTATATAAAGATATATACCAGATATGTATCAGACATTAAAAGTACTGAATTAATAAATTATATGTAATGATATACGGGATTATTCCGCCGAGCTATTAATGTTTCCAGGACGTCTGATAAATGCTGTTCAAATTGATATTTTTTAAACAGAGAACATTTAGTCCTTCGAATAAATACCAAAGTGTCACGAATAGATGATGTCATGATATCAGACAGTGATAGAAAATCAAAGCCAGTCACTAAATATATGACTGGACGTTTCAACCACATCCAAGCAGAGCTGGCATTAGATAATCTATATCTCTATTCTATAGCTTCTTCTCTATATTATATTTCCTAAGAAACTATAAGGACGAACCGGATTAACTGTTTCGTTTTTTTTTTTTTTGCTAGAGGCTTTGCTAGGGGCTTAATAGTAGACTAAATCGAATTGACGAATATATTCCACAAATAAAAAACTGAAATATATAAATAAGTAAAAATAGAATATATGCAGGTGCATGATGTTAGGTATTCAAGCACATTTATTGATTGTCCAGAACAATCAGGTAATACTCTCACTAGTTCACAATTAGGCATATACTTTGAAAGTATTATAAGCACACCTTTGCTAAATTTAACGGTGATCGTTCGAATCATTACAGTTGTGTTGAATAAAATGAAATATCATAGGAAAGAGACTTCATTAAACATTTGACTTCCTTTACCAAACATGTACAAATTGCGGGACCTATTTTTACACATTGTAATTTAATATATATTGAATATACTTTCTTACCTAATCGCTGGTCCTTCACGAAACTCTAGGATTTGCATATTCTGATATGCATAGTGGATCATGGATGTATAACGTATCCAGCTAAGTCCTTCTGGTATTCTTGATGATAGATAACCACCAAATAATTGAGTAGCTAAGGTGTACAACGCACTAAGTGTTATACTAACATTCATGTCCATGCAGCAGGCACCTATGAAGAAACCGACACTTTGTGCGACAATTGTATTGAGCAACAGGAAGACCAACATCAGTAGAAAAAGTTTCAAGCTACAGAGATTGAGAAGATCAATATTTTTAAATAAAAAATCAAATAGATTAAAGTTTTTACCTTGTACATCCCAGCATTGGATATGATATCATGAGGTAGACCGTAGGTAGTGTTACAACCAGCGGTAACTCTCCAAACATTTTCGCTAAATAATATGCGGATAGCCTATAAGCGCCGGAACGTCTCTCTTTGCTTATGACTTCACGTTCAGAGGGGACTAAAAAAATTTTAATTCAATGAAAAAAAAAAATATATGTTAGTTTCAATATGTATATATATTCAAAACAAAGTGTTTTTTTAGTATATCAGATTGTGGATATGATATGGTTATGGGTGTTGAACGCCATGGGTTACCTATTTAAGATTATTTAGATTCTATTTTTGAATTAATTTTTAAAACAAAGCAAACGGAATGAGTTCTACAGATTAATATACATAGTGAATGTATTAGTTAATTTAATATTAGTTAATGTTTTTTGCCATTATTAATAAAAAGATATTATAATTCAATACCGTCAATGATTTATCTCATTCTAACTATAATATAGTCAATGCTTACATGAATTTAATGCACCGAATAACGCAAAGAGCATCCAATAAGTTTGAGAAAAGAACATCCACCCCTGTAGATCATGCAGAAACTCTTCAGTACGCGGTATTTGGAACCAGATCGCACCTGCCATCAATGCTAGACCCACTGTTTGAAACCAATTCAATTTTGAGAGCATGCGCGGTTTAGCTTCCTTGAAATTACGACTCGACAACACACGAAACTGTGTGTGGAATCGCGTTGGATAATCAAGCCAATCGTCAGCATCTTCGTAGTGTTGACAATCACTCGAAGCTGAACTGAAGTTTGATTGCGAATCTGTGCCACACCAGAGCTGTTGCGCTGCTTCCTCGCAGGAGTTGTGATGATCTCCCATCATCAACATTGCATCATGACTTATATGATGATTATTGTGATTATTATGGATGTCCTTGTAGTAGTTATTGATGATATCATTGATCAGAGCATCATGTTGATGGGTTTTATCGTTCACTAAAACACCAGTTGCTGTTGTGGCAATTGTTGTTGTACTGAATCCATCAGTTCCATTTGTTGCCGTTACTGTGAGGCCATTTTCGTTGTTGTGATGATTGTTCTGATGATCGTGTAAAGTATGTAGCTGCGATTGATTGTGATGATTATTAGTGTTGAGTGTAATGCAATTGCGATTTAGAAAATTACAATGAGATTCTTTTGCGGCTTGAAAAAGTTTTTCACGAATATCCGGATATGATTTCAGCTGTTCCACTAAAAAATAAGAAAAAAAAGTGAATGTAATATTTAATTTGAACTTTATATAAAATAAATTTTATTCATAGTATCTTCCCATCACACCCATCTTTATCATCAAGTTTTGTGTGTAGAAATTAACTTACACACAAAATCGGCTGGGTTATAATGCGGCTTAATGGCAACGCCAACATCTTCAAAGTATCTATAAATATTGTTAACTTCGCCAAAGTAGGCCGTACGCCCATTGTAAAGCAACAACAACTTATCGAACATATGAAACATTTGCGATGACGGCTGATGCACGGTTATCACAACGGTTTTCTGCTCTTGCATCGCATAGCGCTTCAGCACTTTCATGAGGGAAATAGCCGAATGACTGTCAAGGCCGGATGTTGGCTCCTAAAAACGTAAATAAAAACAAAACAAAAAGAAAAAAATAAAAAAATAAGCAACTAAGAGTATTTAAAGAGACTTGAGAGCGTGGACAAAGTAGAAAAGTAGAATGTATGGTGCTCTTAAATGTGCTAATAAAAGCACAGTCAGCTCTACTCTTAAAAATGCTAATGTAACCATTAGCTCTTACATTGCCTACTCTTACACAATGTCAGTGCCTGCAATACTCATGGTTGAAATTGTTACTTACATCCAATAGCATTAGACATGGATTGGTTAGTAGTTCACATGCAATGTTGGCTCGCTTCTTTTCACCACCGGAAAGGCCGCGATTTAGATAATCCCCGAATTTCGTTTGTTGACAAAAATTTAATTCCAGCGTTTCCAATAAGCAATCAACCAGTTTCATTTTTTCTTCCCTTGGAATTTTCTCTGGCAAGCGCAATAGCGCTGTATACATGACGGTCTCTCTGAGCGTTAGGCCCGAAAAGAAAATTTCCTCTTGCAGCACATAGCAGATTTTACGACGCCATTTCTTTGAGAGCGGTTCGCGGTTAAGATAAATGCTACCACCATCAGTGCGTCGTTGGCCACTTAGACAGTCAAGTAGTGTTGTTTTCCCACTGCCTGATGGGCCCATTATAGCCAAAACTTCGCCTGGACTGTTCATGAAGAAAGACACAGAATAAGTAGTCTTATTTGGAAAATAATCTTTTTTTAATACTAACCTTACTACACCACTTACGTCCGAGAGTATTTTACGGTCATTATGGAGCACGTTTAGGTTCTGAAATGTTAGCTGCAACGTGCGGTGCTGCTCAGATATGAACGGAAATGTCACTACTGTATGATCGCTTCTGGAATCAAAAGACAAGACTTTATGAATAACACTGAGCAAATAAGTAGTATTATTAAAAACGATTATTGTAAAATTTTATTGCTACAATTACTTAAATAAATATATAAACAAAGAAAAAGTGTAAGATATAAGTGAGGAAATATTTCTTCGAGCATAAATTGCTATACTACTTGAAAATAGTTAACTTGTATAAATGAATGAACTTATTTTTTTGGATGAAACAGCCTGCACTTAAACTTTGAGATAAAACAGCCTGCATATTCATCCCATATTCTTTTCTATCTGCCAATTGTTTGAATAGAAGGTTAACTATTAACATACCAAATCAATTTAATAAAAGAAAAAGAAAATGCACACATCAATTCCTTTTTCTAATACAATATTTGACACGATTTGGAGGAATTCTCTTAATTCGTACAACTTGTTGAAATTTTCCAATCACTTCACTGCACTATAATAACAATTAATCGAATTAATTGAAACAAAAGCAATGCCAGGACGTATTTTATTAAATTATTAGGAATTCAAATAAAATAATACCGCAATCTGAGTTCATTTAACTGGTCACAATTTTATGTTGAAGCTATTTGAGGCAGTGCACTTAAGCACTTTCACCCTTTCTTATCTCGAGGTATTTTCAAAATCCCTCTTTACGCCTTGACTGGATTATTGTTTATCACTTCATCAGACTAAGCAATAATTGACCTCAAATCCGCATACCTCCCCGAGGAGCCTGTAACTATTCTGAGATTTGATAATGCGGTGTTCGTAAGTCTGTCAGTTTTCGCAAATAATTTTAGGGCTCCATCTTTTATGTATTTTTTGATCGGATTAATCTTGAAGTTCATGTGGATGTCATTTGTCCTGGTCAAAGTCTATACGATTAAATTTTATAAACAAAAATAGTGCTGTATTGTAGCAATATAGTGAAGCAATGAAGCAGTTATATTGCACTATTTTCCGTTTGTTGCTATAAAAAGAGTATTCAGGGTTGAGAGTATCAGTTGGTGTATAGAACAGAGTTTAATATATTGGATTAATATTATCTACTTTCAAGCGTCGGTTCGCAATTTTAAAATAAAACTTTTATGTGCTTTCTTAATTTTAAAAGAAATTAATTTATGTAACCTGACCCTTGACATGTGTTTCTAAATAAAATAATTTCTTCAAGATTTGTGTATTCAAATATATATGTAACTTCATGAAGAAATTACCAAAATATAAATTAAAATTGCCGTAGTTATTTTCAATAATTAATTGGAAAACCACGACTTATGGAGATACTGTACCATTCTTGGAACTTGTGACAAGAATGTGTATTAGGAGACTTACACTATTTCTCAAAATCATTTACATAAGGGAAGAAAATGATTTATGTTCTTCTTTGAACTCACATATATTCTTTGGATGCCAAAGGGATAAGTATTCCAGAATACCAAAGGTATGAGCCCACACTATTGTTTGGACTCATTTTTGTACAAATGAGTATTCCAGAATACCAAAGGTATGAGTCCACACCATTGTTTGGACTCATTTTTGTACAAGATATGCTAAAAACTCTTTGCTATTCTTTGAATTAGGGTTTTTCCCTTTTTAATAAGCGTACATTTTCAAATTAAAATAAAACGTACACACAACTGAAGAATTCATTTCTTATTAATTGGTAAATAAATTTATGATATTATTGATATAAAGTGATTTTGAGCAAGTGGATGCCGAAAGATCATTCTTGGAATGCAAGTTTAACCCATATTCAACAAATAATGCGTTTTATGTTGACTTCTAACATTAAAATCAATAATGTAAAGTATCTCACACCTTGAATTATAACATGTGACATCATCTTGTTAAAGCCAAATGAAGATCCAAGAACTTTTAAAAATAGCATAGCTCAATAACCGGTGTTATCGATGCTGAGACTTGAATTTTTGTTTTTTTTTTTTGAAGAACAATAGTCGGCATTATTTCTACCAGGTATTATTTATAAACCGTATTAAACAGCATATTTAATAGATAGTGATGAAATTTCATTCATACCTAATGTAAAAATTTGGCATATAAAGCCACGGTAAAACTGTAATTATCTTCCAACAATTCAACCTCCCATATACTAAAATCATTCTATCCTATAAATCTATTCCGAGCAAATTTATTTAAGATGAGGCTTAATACCTTCTTGCAGTGTAGACATTGCATGGAGGATGCCGAAGAGGAATCACGAAGAGAATACACCTTCTGTTACAGTGTCCTACTGTCGCAAGACTTACACTCTCCTACTTAGGGTCGCACTTCTTCAATTCAGAAAAAGAGCTAAATTCTTAAGGGTATCACAATAGATCTCATGGTCTAAGTGCGAATTCGGATGGCCCCAGTAACCTAACCTAACCTACTGAAATCATGACACAAAGGATACTAGTGCGGTTTCAGTTTTTGCACTAAGATCTTATCCCTGAATTAGTGTCTTCTTTTAGTTTCTGTTCCATATATATTTTTTCTTGAATAAAATACAAATTTATAATATATTACAGTAAAGTAAAGGTACTTAATAATTATTTGCACATATTGGTAACGTTCTCTCTTCGGTTCAATAATATCTTGTATTATTGATTGATTGTCAATAATAAAGAAGATCTATATAGACTATACAATTATTATATTTCCTGTTTTAAAAGAAACTCATATAATTATAATAAAATTAAGACTTGTAATAGAATAACTTGATCTAGGGAAATTACTAGTCAAAACTTGAAGATCTCACTCTAACTAAGTGATTTTTACTTGAAAATCAGTAGATCATTACATAAAGATGATAGATACATATATATCTGTTTCACTTTGTAGAAGAGATAATATGCCTACATTTGTATTAAAAACACAAAAAGTATTCAAAATATATATTTCAACGATCAACTAACTAGCACAATTCTTTGGGAGCAATAACAGCAGAACAGAACAATTGCTTGAGCAGAAAAAACAAAGAGATAACATCTTGAAAAATGTGTTCGCTTGACTTAACTCTAAAAGTTACTTAGTTAGCCGTTCTGTCTGTCTCGCTATCGGTTCTTGCTGTCACTCGACCGTCTGTCTCTCTGTACGCTCGATCTCTGCTTAATTCGATGTCTGCAAGTCAATGCGTTCTATATAGTCACCTCGAAAATTGTGTGCATGGAGCACACATGTGCCTAGGCATTGTGGTGATCCGCCAACACAGACCACGGAAATACTTGACATTTATTTTTATAAATATGTGCACTGACAAAAATATAGATTCCAAAAAAGAAAAGATCATTCATATAATAACAATAATAATAAAGACAGTGCGTTTGCATCAAAGCCCCTTCTCCATACGTAGGAAAGAGCGCGCGTTTCGTATACTTTAGCTGATCATACGGTCCATTTCGGTTCGGTTTAGTTCGGCACTTCATTATACTCAGCGACACTCTGACGTTGTACTGCGTTTATTGTTTGCTATACTCATTGTTGTTGTGCTTTTGTTGGTGATCTTGTACCTTTTATCATGACCGGAATGCTTTGGGTTGGCACTTGCGGTACGGTACGCCGTGCTGCAGTATAGTTCATTGTACTCTTTATTTATTTTGTTTTGTAATTTTTAATATTTTAGTTTTATTTTTATTTATTTTTATGTGGATAGATTTAAATTTTTTATTTTATATTAAGATTATGAAGAAAATACGTTTGTGTGCATATCTACAGCCTCAATGTGGCATTTAGGTTGCAATTTGAGTGCAAAGAGGAGATAGAGTTCATTTTCTTGAACTAAAATTTCGATAATTTTTGTGATATTTCTTATGTGACATCACTTAAATCGAAGATATGTTATAGTATGTATTATTGATTATACATAGCAAAGATGTGATATTGTTCTATGCCTCTTTAGATAAATTGGGATCAGAAGATTAATTGTAGAGTTACTTGTGACCGAGAGTCATGAATTTATACTAAATTAAGATCTTCTAACTTAACTGAAATATCATTGTTTTTATCAATCATAGTTAAACACCTGTAAAGTAGAATTTTTCATTTTCTTTGCAAGGGATTGAATTTTTTCCTAAACAAACTCTATATATTAAGACATTGTAAAATTTATAGCAGACTGCTTAGACTTACAGGTCCATGGTGATACAAGATAGAGCAAGATCCTACGCAAAATTTTAGTAGTATTGGTTGTGTGTTCCTATATCCCAAATTTCGGAAACCACAAGGATATTTGGCGCGTTTATGACAATGCTGGACATAAGCATAAGAATTGTCTGCTTCGTTCTTACTTTCCTGATTTGGCTATATAAATGGCTTTTGCACATCTATTAGGTGGATTTATAAATACCCCGCCTAAGTAATAAAAACGCGATAGCTTTTAACTAATACGATTTATCAAGTCCTCCAAAATACACCTCACTTTTTCATTCCACTTCACCATCCACTTCAGCAAATCTCTTTCCCTGGAGAGATCTTTTCAAGTTTGAAAACAGGTTATTACCTGGTAGCCAAATCTGAAAAATACGGTGGGTGAGGAAGCAATTCGTACCAGAATTCATTTCATTTTGCCATGGCGTGTGAGCGGGTGCGTTATCCTGCAAAATCAAAATTTTTTTTTGACAAATGTAGTTGTTTTTTCTTGACTTCCTCAATGAATGAGCCAATAATACACATTAGTATTATTAACTGATGTTATTGTTTTTTCTTTTTCCAAATAGTCTTTGCAAATTATTCAAATTTGACTTCCCAAAATACGGACGCCAAAACTTTTCCAGCTGATGGTTGGATTTGTGTTCGTTTGGAAAAATGACCCCCGAGCTTTAGCCATTCTCTGACTCAGGTGTGAAGTCATGGATCTATGCTTCATCAATTGTTCCTACTCGACATTTTCAAACAATGTTTTGAATGACAAAATCATTTTCGTTTCAGCCGAAACGCAATACCCATTACCCATCTTTC